TTTATATAGCATTAGAGAAATAGGGGCACAAAAAGGGAGAAAAGGCTTCTCTTTGTGTGAAGTCCTGGGGGGTTAAAACCTAACATAACCAGGAGCCTCAAGCTGTCAGACAATGAGTTTGGAGTCCAGAAGGCATTGGGTGGGCCAGAGGGAGTATATGGGTCCTGAGAACTGAGCACAGTCACTGAGATGGATCAGGCACCAGACCTCAGGAGGACATTCAGAGGGCAGGTGGCAGACTGGTGAGGCAGCCAGGATGACAAAGTGTGGTGACCTGCATTTATCCCAGAGGTGGCTGGCTTCAGATAGCTCAGGCCATAGGAAGAACTGGAGTTTAGGAGAAGGCCTCCTGGTGCTGGAGAGTGTTAAGGAAGCCTGATAGATTTGGCTGATAAAGAAATTACATGCTCTTTTTAAATTCAGATGGTTTAACACATAGCAAAAGCAAGATCAGCAAAGGGGACCCTTTGTGTCCTTCTCCCTGCGTAAAAAGGGGCCAGGTGACCATGCAGCATGGGCAGTGAGGCACTCTGTTTCTAGGAGCTGATCCATGAAACAGCTTAGAAGTTTTATAGCCTGCAGTTGCACTCCAAGGAGGGGGCAAGGCAGAAAGTATATTTCATCAGAACGCAGGTGGTGGTGAGAAGCTGTCTCATGACAGCCTTCCTGGAAGGCAGGCAAGTGAGAAACATTCCTGTAAATCCTCCAAAGTTCACCTGTTCCAGGAGGACCACAGGGTTTTCTACCAATGCTTAGGTCAACTGCAATTTAAGCTTGACCTATGTGGAGATGTGCAAGGTCCACTGTGGTTCTATGGCCACTTCCTCTACAGAGGATCCTAGTAGTGGCTCAATTAGAACACTACATGGGTCATCAAGGTATGGACTCAGTTAGAGAATAGCACACCAGGGACTCAGTCACCACAACCAGACAGTTTTGTCTTAGAAGAAGGCAGGAGACTGTTTCTGGAACTAGGTCCAAAGACTGGAGAGAGAATAGTAGAATTGACCTCCCCCTCTTCCAGGTGAGTGTTTTTGAGGGGCTGAAATAGAGCATCTTAATTTCCCTCTGTTCAGAGTGGGATGGCTCCCGGGGCTGAGGTGTGGCTGAATTTGTAGGGGTGTGGGTCAGGGGGTGGGAAGCCAGAGGTTTCGACTATGGCAAATTGCAAATCACGGGCAAGAAGTCTGGTAGGTTGACTGTCTGCTTCCACATCCAAGGCTGATGATGAAGTCAAACTCCTCTCTCTACTTGTGCTTGTCATTGAATTTTTTATTCTTGATATCCTTTGTGTCCTTCTCTAGGCCAGTGTTTCCATAGAACGGCTAGAGAAGTACTTGGGAGGAGATGAGCTGGACACATCTGCCATTCGACATGACTGCAGTTTTGGTAAATGATTTTGGAAAGTGCTTCCTAAACTAATTCACAGTGCTGGTGCCAGAACTTTGATATACAAGGGCATAGCAGCAGCAAACTGATGGGGAGAGAAAGTGGGGGGACTTATCTTGCACCTATATTTGCATAATATGCATACTGTTATTACTTAAATTATGCTTTCATTTAGAACAGATTGCCAAGCAAAGCTGGGCCAGCTATTCTGAGGATAAGCAGGGAATCCTGCAAAGGATCTAGAAAACAGAAGTCAGGGTGGAGCCAAGCATGTGGAATTGGGAAGATAGGTGGGAATGAAAGAACACACAGGTTCTGAAGGTTTAAGGATTATGGAGCATCCTTAGCCAGAGTGAACAGTGACTCTGGAATCCAGGGCAGGGAGTGGCTGGGTTTATATTTGGAGGTGGAATTTATACAGGAGACTAGGCGATAGAGGGCCCGGGGATGTACCCAGAGTGTCTGTAGGTCAAGAATCTGGGCTACCAACAGGCTTGGGACTCCTAAATCAAAAAGGACTTCATATCCAGGCAACTTTTGGTCTCACCTCAGAAGCTTTCATTTGCCTCTTGCCAGCTTAGGAGTCAGCACGTGACAGAAGTGATCTTGGGCTCTGCTGGAGGAAATGGAGAGGGCACACAAGGGCTGAGAAAGGGCAGACAGACTTGGGGACCTACATCTGACTTAAAGAGGGGCCTTTTTCTCAACAGACAAAGCTGTACAGTTTTCTGAGGCCTCCTTTACCTGGGACCACGATTTGGAAGTCACAATCCGAGAGTAAGTTGCTTCCTTTGCATCTTGCTGTTTTTTTAGGATGCTCCTTGCCAGTCTTGTTGTTGGAAAATTTCATGTAATAGAACACGTGGGAAAATGAGCTACGTGCACACGTTCAGTTAGATCCTAGTGCAGGCTAAACCCATGGAGGGATGAGCTGACAGCAGAGATCCCGAGCCCCTTCCCTATAACGGCATCTACCTCCCTGCTTTCCTACTGTGGGACAGTGTACATCCTGCTGAGAACCCATGAAGACACTGGTTGTCCAGGTGGTGGATGGAGGTTGTGCAGGGTTGGCAGGTAGCCAGGGTCTCTAGGTATGGTAGAGGATATACACAAGAAGCTGAACTCAATTTAAGTTTACTTATTCATTTAAGAATAGTAATCATGAAGAATTCTTCATGAAGAATGAAGAATCAAAGAATAATTGACCTGCTTTGCCCAGAGAACATCATATCTGGAATTTTTCATCTACATAACCCATTCTCACATTTCACCCTGGAGGCTACCTCCTCTGCCTTAAGCCAACCCTTTTTTGCCACACTGCTGCATGTAATGTGTTCCTTAAGCTCTACATGTAGCAGCCCCTGAGCACAGAACAACAGAGGACACCAGGAGCCTGAGCAGGCCAGATCCTTTTCTTCACAACTGAGCATAACTAACCCTCTCCCTGCTACACCCAGGACTTTCCACTCTTCTGTCCTATTCCTAGATCCTTTAACATGGATTCTGGAGCTTGCCCCAGCAGGTGTCAGGCCAGAAGCTCTGCCTCTGAACCCTCCCAACCAGGAAGTCTCACTCTGCAAAGAGGAAGTAGACATAGCTCCCACTTTGCTAGCAATATAAGTCTAGAAGGAAACCGGCTCAATGGGCAGGTTGAGAAAGCCTGTGAACAAGTTCCCCATGTTCCTAACATTCTAGGGACTCAAATAATAGGGCCAGTACAGAGAGTTTCCAGGAGCCTAGCCCAGTGTGGGCGCCTCCCAGCCAGACTCAGCCATACCTCCAGGAGAGGGGACAGGGAATCTGTGCTTTCAGCAAGTGTTCTATTGGATGGCCAAGTTTGGGAAACATCTTGTTCAACCTCATTAGTTTAGAAATGAGAGTCCAAAAGAGGTGACTCTCCATGATCATACAGCTCAGCAGTGGCAGAGATGGGACTTGAACTCAGGTCTTGTTCAATGGTACCATGTTGATTCTAAAATAATTTTTCTAGTGGAAACTCACATTTGGCACAAACAACTTATAGATGAGGGCTCACTCTAACCTCTTAGAGCTAAAAAAAATAATCATTAGAGAAATACTTTGGACTCTTGTATATCAGGGCAAACGTTCCAGTCTTGAGGGAAAATCCCCTATACTAGACTTCTCACCTAAGGAGTGGCTTGAGCTACTCTTGAATAACTCTCCTCATCTCCTTCAAGTGTACTTCTCTCTTTCAGCGTGAATCTGGACATTATGCCAGGCCAGTTGGTGGCTATAGTGGGCACTGTGGGCTCTGGGAAATCCTCCTTGATGTCAGCCATGTTGGGAGAAATGGAAAATATCCACGGGAACATCACCATCAAGGTGAGGAGGATGCTGGCACTCAGATGTGGGTCTCTCAGTGCTGCTTTCTCACTGGGAGGATGGCCTAGAATCTGATAACTACTCCTGTCTTATTTCTGTAGGTGAGGTTGTGGAGACATCTGGGAGACTTGTAAACTGTAGATTCTTTGCCCCACCCCACATACATAATCAGATTTTGGTGTAGATTCTAAAAACCTGCATTTTTAATAAGCTCCCCAAGTGATTTTTTTTTGGTGGGGGTAGGTGATTAGATTTACTTATTTATTCATTCTTAGAGGAAGTACTGGGGATTGAACCCAGGACATCATGCATGCTAAGCATGTGCTCTACCACTTGAGCTATACCCTCCCCTCCCATTTTACCCTCCTCTCCCAGGTAATTCTCATATGTATCCTGAAGTTTGAAAACTGTCTTCTTTCAAAGTATAGGCAATTCTACTATATCTACGTTTCTGAAAACCTCAAGTTCTGCAAAACCATACAATAAAAATAACAAGACCCTGGGGAAAGAACTGGAACAGTATAGATTCTGAAAAACATATGTAACTTTGTAACCAAGGTACCAACAAAAGCAGTAACAACAATAATCATAAAAACGATAACCCTGTAAAACCTCTACTGATAATTGCACCCAGCTTCACAATTAGTTCTGGGCCTCTCACCTCCTCCTTTGAGAGGTTGGAGTTTAGGACATTTGCTTCCAATACAAAAATATGACATAGGATACAGACATCATCAATTATGATTATTTTAAATAGAGAAAAAATGTTTTCATGGCATCTTTATCAGCACTCTCAGCTTCCCCTGAGAGCTAAATTTAGGGCAAATTATAGGTACTTGGAATCATTTAATGAGCCACTACTTACACCAAAAAGAGGCATGTCTATGGATTTTTAGCTTTTCTTCTTAAGATCTTCATATATTGCTAAGCCTTTGTTTTTAGTAAGAAAGCTTGCCCCTAATTGCTTTCACAGACATGCTTGAAAAAATTTTAAGAACTAACACTTCTTCCACATTATAGTGACATTATTCCCTGATTTACTAAGGAGATAATTTGCATTAAATAAGCACGCAGTATAGCAGAGTAGACTCTATAGATTTAATTCTGTCTCTGAACTCCTCTCAGGAAGCGTTTTCTTACTAAGTCATAACTGAGTTTGTCCTTTCACAGAGGTGTTTGTCAGGCTCCATCTCTCCTTTGACATGATCTGCTTCATGTATCAGCCTGGCGCCCAAATGTCAGTCTCTTAGTTCTTGCTTGCTAGGATGTCATCTGTCCCATTCCCCAACAGTGTCAGCCCTCTGCTGGTCCTAGTAGCCTCACTGGGGTCTAAAACCCTTTCTGGAAGCAGCATATGCATTCATGCACCAATTTTTAGATCATAGCTAGAGAGTGATAGTCCAAAAAAGTTAATGTTAAGTGATGAATAAGATATTGAATCTTTCTCTCTGGTTGATGTAATTTATAAATAGCATGTGCTCAGCCAGCCTGACGTACCCTTTTCAGATCTAAGTTCTATTTGTTCCTCCCACCTCCTGCCACCCACTCCTTCAATCCTGCTTTTCCAGAGGTACAAAACTGTCACATGGTCTGATCCCTCCCATCTAGGGCACTATAGCCTACGTCCCACAGCAGTCTTGGATTCAGAATGGCACCATAAAGGACAACATCCTTTTTGGAGCAGAGCTGGATGAAAAGAAATACCAGCAAGTTCTGGAGGCCTGTGCCCTCCTCCCAGACTTGGAAGTGCTGCCTGGAGGAGACCTGGCTGAGATTGGAGAGAAGGTACTTGGGACACCAAGGGGTCACCTTGAAGGGTGAAGAAACAGTGAAGAAAAAGAGTGAGGATGGTGAAGAAGTACATGGCAATAAAATAGTTGACCAATTTTGGTAGCCAAGTCTGGAACAAACACCAGAAAATAGGAGTTTGCACAATATTTTGTGCAAATAACTCAGAAATTTAAAATTTTGTTACTGGAAGAAAATATAGGAATTGTGTAAATCTAAAGGAAAGATGATGAGACTAGGACCTCAGAGGTTAACTAGCCAGCGGCAGATCCAAGGTTGACCCCACAGGTGGAGGGGCAGAAGTAGACCAGAGCCTAGTTGTCCTAATCCTATTCTGTATACTAGTGAGGGCCAGAGTAGGGTTCTTATCTGCTTTGAACATTTACAAATTTAGTATATATTATTTTCTCATGTTATTAGATGTCCTTTTTAAAAATTAATTTTTAATGAATTACTATATTCATTATATGGATGTAGCATAATTTGTTTAGAAATCCCTGATTACTACATATCTAGGATGTTTTAATCCTCTTTCTCTATTACTAAAAATGAAATAGCAGTCTTTTGGAGAAGGATCTTGAGATGTTAGATGACTATTGAAGATATAGCTCTAGAGTGATTTTGTTCACTAATTCAGCACACATTTATTGAGTACCACTATGTGCCAGACGCTGTTTTAAATGCTGGAGTTATATCCAGAAACAAAATAAAGAAAATCTACCTTGGTATACTTCTACATTCTCATGGGGCTGGAAGCAACAGCAACAAGTAAATTACATGATACAAAATGGTAAGTTGGGCACACTTTTAATTATTAGGCCTAAAGTATTTATTTGAATCAAAGATGCTTATTTGTATAAAGGAATTATGTTACTGAACCAAATTTGGGTCCAGTCACCCACATTGCAGCAAAGCCAATCTACTGACAGTGGGTTGCAGTGAAGGAAATTACAGTGTTTATTGCAGGGTGCAGCAAGGAGAATGGGCAGCTCATGCTCAAAAGACCCAGACTCCTCAGTGGCTTTCAGGGAAGGGTTTTTAAAGGCAACATTTGGGGTGAGGGTTGCAGCTTGTGGACTTTCTTCTGACTGGTTGGTGGTAAAGTAACAGGGTGGTGTTTCAGGAATCTTTTTTTTAATCATCAACTTTCTGGTTCCAACCACTTTGAGGTCTAAGTGCTTGTGGTTAGCATGTAATTAGCATCTTCCACCTGGGTGAGAATCTTAGTTTCTGCAGAACAATTCAAAAATATGTGTCAAGATTGTTACATACACCCCTTGAGGAGGAACTAGGACTCTGTTTTATTGCTGAACTGTGGTTTCTTGATTGTTTTTCCTTTGTTTCTGCATTCCTGCACTTCCCTATGAGTAACTGCTTGAGCCTGCTCTTTAGAACTCAGGGAAGGCCTAGGAGACTAAAGCTTTTTTCTACAACAAGAAACGAGAACACAGAGGGGCTTTTGTACCCAGGAGGGCCTCGCAGAGTCCTGCTTGCTTTCAGTCCCCCCTTTTCATTGATGCTCCCCCATCTTGAGGGGAAGAGGTGTGGGACAAGAAAGGGAATCGACTTTTAGTAGTGATGTGAATCATAAATTCAATAGAGGAACTCAACTTTAGGGGGACTTGGTTTCAGTACTTAATAGAAATTATTTTCTTCTTTAGGGTATAAATCTCAGTGGGGGTCAGAAGCAGCGGATCAGCCTGGCCCGAGCTACCTATCAAAATACAGACATCTATATTCTGGATGACCCCCTATCAGCCGTGGATGCTCATGTGGGAAAACATATTTTCAATAAGGTCTTGGGTCCCAATGGCTTGTTGAAAGGCAAGGTGAGAAATTAAAGTGATGAAGACAGGAGGGGCACATATCTCTTAGGACTGCTGGGTCCTGAAGCAGATTTCCTTATTCACCTGCCCCCTGGGCTGCTGAGGAGATACAGGGTTGGACTTGTCTTTCAGGAGACCACCCAGTGAAGGCTTCCATCTTGAGGTCATAGCTTACGCAGGGACTGGCTAATTTGAGCTGTATTCTCTGGCTCCGACACTGAGCCTCTTAGGATGACTGATTATGATAGAAGGTCCTTTGAGATATGTGGTATCATAAATATATTTGGTCTTTGTCACTAGTTCTTGGCATAGAGCTCCTCACCCTTAGAACTTCCTGAGTGACACTAGGAGTGTCTTCTGCTTTTCATAATGAGCCCCGTTAGGTCACACCTGAGTTTATGCTAAATGAGTGATTTAGGGAGGGGCCCTTAGGCAGCCTCTGGACAAGGCTGTTCCTCAGAAAGACCAAGTGATGGGAAGGTTGGAACTTTCAGTCCCACTCACCAACCTCTGGGGAGGGGAGGATGGGCTGGAGATTGGGATATAAAAATTCTTGAATGAGAAGATTCAGAGAGCTGCTGGGTTGGTGAGAATATTAAGGTGCTGGGAGGGTGGCACACCTCATGAGAGCATGGAAATTTTGCACAAGCACCTCCCCCCACCCAGACCTTGCCCTATTCATCTCTTCCATTTCACTGTTCCTGAGTTGTATCCTTTGAAATAAACTGGCAAACAGTAAGTAAATTATTTTCCTGGGGTTTATGAGCCATTCTAGCAAATTATCAAACCTGAGGAGGGGGCCATGAGAATCTTCAATTTATAGCTAGTTGACCAGAAGTATGGGTGGTCCAAGACTTTGGGCCAGCATCTGAAGTCAGGGCAGTCTTGTGGGACTGAGCCTTTAAGCTGTGGGGTTTGTGCTAATTCTGGGTAGCTAGTGTCAGAATTGAAATTGAATTGTTGGACACTCAGAGAATCGGTTGATGTCAGAAAACACCCTAGAGGACCCAACAGTTTACCTTGCTGGTGGGACACAGGTCATCCTGCAAGTATTAGAACTATACTCTAAGAAGGCATTTCCCTAAAACCCTGGCAGGATGTAGGAGCACTGTGCCTAGAAAGGATGACCCGACCTGAATATAGAAATAAAGCTTACATTTTCTGAGTATTTATTATGTCCTAGGCATGTGCTAAGCACTTTGATTGCTGTCTCATTGGAGTCTCACAATGCCCTGTGAGATAGTACAGACAAAGTGGCCAGAGCAAGTCACTAGAGCAGGTCGTGGGCTTTCCTTACCACAGGCAAGTTAGCACAGTGGGCTGAGTGGGAGAGGGGCTGATAGAGCCCCTCGAGGGTTTGAATATGCTCCTCACCAGCAGCAAGTGTAGAGTGCGAGCTGTCAGCACGCCATCTGTATTTGGCCTCCCTTCAAGATTTTTTGAGAGCTGCCCATCAGAGGGTGAGCTAGTATCCCACTGAGGCCCTTTGCCTCTCTCTTGGATCAGTGAGTCGACAGGAACTCACTCTCCCTCCTATTCCTGGTCCTAGCTTCTGTTCTTAAGGCTAATTGGCTCTGTTCTTTCATGAACTAAATACCCACCCTGCACCTGGTTCTTTGCAAAGACTGGCAGTGCACAGATGGTAAGGTCTCGTCCCTGCTCTCAAGTAACTTACTGTCTAATTGGCAGATATACCAAAAAGCAAACAATAATATGACACAGGGATTAGTTCAATGGCAGTCTATACAAACTACAGTGGAAACATTGGAGGAATACCTAGTTCTTGCCTGAGGACTCAGGAAAGGCTACCAGGAGAGTTGGCCTTGAGCTGAGACTTGAAGGATGAGCATCTCCTGAGTCTTCCTGGTAAGAGGGACCTAGTACCTGTAGAGGCAGTGGGCTTGGACTGTCTCTCCAGAGGCCCATCTCAACCCCATGGCCCCTATCTGAGCCTCATTACTGATCCGTGAGTGTTTGTCTTTCTCTGAGTGGAGTCCCTGATTCAGGAGTCAACGTGGTCCATAAATAGACAGGAATACAAGGGATGCCAAGTCTTCCACATCGGGGAGGACCTGGGCCAAAGACAAAATTTTTTGCCCCGCGGTGTGTCTAACATGCTAAAAGAATATGGGCAGTTCTTGTTAGTTCAGTCGGGTTTGCTGTTTAGTGAGAGGGGCAGTTAGTTTTGCATGCCTCAGTTGTATTGATAGCTCTTGATCTCAGGTGACATTCCTTAGCCCAGCTCTTAGCTACCCTGGAAGCTGGAGGAAAATGTGTGCAAAGCTCACTGCCACTCCAGGAAAATAACTATGAATATACCCATGATGACAGGAGTCTCATCTTACACACGGGGGTCAGGTCTTAGGATAAGATGCTGGGAAGCAAAGAGAAAGTAAAAGAGGGCAAGTGATCAGGGCCATATTTTGAAGCAAAGCCCCACAGTAAATCTTTTTTTTTTTTCCTTTTTAAGAGTAAGCTAAGGAAGGTAGTGGACAGAGGGTCAGCTTACTGTCATTTTTACAGACTCGACTCTTGGTGACACACAGCATTCACTTTCTTCCCCAAGTGGATGAGATTGTGGTTATGGGGAATGGCACCATCTTAGAGAAGGGGTCCTACAGCACTCTGCTGGCCAAGAAAGGATCGTTTGCTAAGAATCTGAAGACATTCATGAAACAGATGGGTCCTGAAGACGAGGCCACAGGTATGTGAAGAGGATTGGAGCAGGATAGCACTTGCGTGTGGGAGGGGGAGGAGTAGTAAACATCACTGTTTACCTCCTGATCTGTTCAGTATCCATTGCACTAGACTTGGAAGTGAATTATCCAGAGATCTAAAATCTATGTTCTGTATCTCTATAAAGAAATACAAACATAAAAACTTTTTATCTGAGCCAAACTGGGGGCTTACCCTGCTCATCTGGTCTGTGACATGCAGAGGGCACTCTGAAGAAGGCAACTAGAGGTTTGTGGTGATCAGCTCTTACAGGAGACACCAGTGGCACAAGGGGCCCCCTTTCAGGGAATGCCCTGACTAGTCACATCCCACCCCATCTACCCTAAATCCATTAAAATCATTTTCTGAATATCTTCATGATACCCAGTACTAATAGTGTGCCGCTAAATTGTTAAGCCCTAACAAAGGGATCTTGACTAGTACACCAAAAACCACCAAGTGGTTTGCACCAGAAAAAAATGATGGCAGTTGCATAGTCTCACAGTGTGTCCCAGGAATAGCCTCTGTCCAACACCACTACCCCTGGGGTCACCGATTGGCTTCAGTTCCCCGGGGCTCTTCCTAAGAACCTCTCAGCAGCAGTCATGTGCGCGGCTCTGGGTATCTGCATCAGGTAGCAGTCGTCAGCAGGTCAGGACTGAGAAAGCAAGGTCTGGAGGGTACAGGGGACATTCCAGAAGTCAGTCAGAAGAGGCAATAACTACAGAGCCTGCAAGTGGGAGCACATATAGGCCTTGAGGTCAGGACATGTAGTGGTTTAAAACTACAAGAGTCAGAAGAGCCTAAACCATGAAGTCTATAAGCACTGGCAGCACAGAGCAGGAACAAAGAATAGGATGGTGTGGGCTATGGGGACTGGGAGCCAGCCCCGGGAAGTAGGTCAGGGGTACCAGCGGGAAGGAAAGGGTCAGAACTTCCCATCAGTCTTTATGTGCTCCAGGGACTGGCCTGGAGAAAACAAAAAGCACCTGCCTGGGGAGTGAAGGTCTCAGGCAAAGGGCAGTGTCTGATGCTGGATCTCCCGGATTCCCTGCTCAGGCAACCACGTCACTGTAACCTGGACAGTTTTCTCGTACTAATTCTAAACTTTTTTTTCTGATTTGCCTGGATCTGAGTTTCTGAGTTCTGTTATAAACCCCCATGGGTAGACGGCCCCTTTGAAAAATCCTATCTTTTGTGTACAAAAGACAGTTTGCAAAATAGCTCATTACACCCTTGTTCTTGTAAACATTACTAGGCCATTTCTGAGAAGTGATGTAAGCCCCAGTGCCTGGCATGGTGCTGTGTTGGTTCTGGGGCTCAAGGTACAGACCACAAGATGGCAGAATAAAGGGAAGGGCAGGAGGGCAAGGTAACCTGTATCAGTATTGACTCTGTGTATTTCCTAATTAGCTGCCATAACAAAACCTTACAAACTGGGGGCTTAAACAACAGAAATTTACTGTCTCACAGTTCTAGAGACAAGAAGTCCAAAATCAAGGTGTCAGCAAGACTGATTCCTTCTGAAGGCGATAGGGAAGGATCTGTTCCAGGTCTCTCTCCTAGCTTCTGGTGGTTTGCTGGCAGTCTTTGGCATTCTTGGCTGTAGACACATCCCATCAGTCTCCACCTTCATCTTCACATGGTGTTCTCCCTTATGTACATTTCTGTGTCCAAATTTCCCCTTTTTACGAGGACATCAGACATTGGATTGGGGTCCAACAAGATCAGAAAAGACTTATCTTTCTTCATAGAGCTCTGAGAGCTCTATGCAGCTCTCTCTCTAACCTTTGATGTGTCTCCTAGTCAATGAGGACAGTGAAGAAGAAGATGACTGTGGGTTGATGCCCAGTGTGGAGGAAATCCCTGAGGATGTGGCCTCCTTGTCCATGAAAAGAGAGAATAGCTTTCATCGAACACTTAGCCGCAGGTTGGTCATCTATTGAACAGGCAGCCCCCATCACTTCCATAGATCCACTTGATCATTCTGCTATTCTCTGTGGACTTTTCCTAAGGGAGTGGACACCATGGACACTCGCAGCTCTTCCTTTGTTTCCTTGCATGGGGAGGAGGGTGGAGGTGGTGTGTTCCCCCCATGGCTGTCCGCTCTGAAATGCACGTGGAGGCAAGCAGAGCGACTGTGATATCTGCTTGCAGGAAGACCCTTGGGATGCACCTGCATGCTCAGGAAAGCATCCCCTGCCTCTCAATCTCTCAGTTCTAGGTCCAACAGCAGGCGTCTGAAGTCCTTAAAAGACTCCTTGAAAACTCGGAAGGCAAATATCCTGAATGAGGAGGAAGAAGTAGTCAAAGGACAAAAACTAATTAAGAAGGAATTTGTACAAACTGGAAAGGTGAACACCACAGTAAAAAGTATCATTAGAGGTGATACAAGGCTTGGGATTCAAACATTTTAAAGTTTCATGACATGAATACATATCTACAGAGGGATGTATCTTAAACGTGGTTTGCAGGTCTTTAAATTTATCATTGAAATGTTAGCAGAGGCTCTGGACTTTTTATGAAATCGTATTTCCATGAAGAATGACAAGTTTCCTATGGATATCCTCATGCCATACTTCATGAGTGTTTGATTCCATTCTGATGTGGTGAAAACAACAAAAGTGCTCTGTTCTGTGGCTTTTATTGGATCGAACCTTTTGGGAGTCAGAGCACACGAGTGTATCAATTTCCTATTACACTATTCAAAGTAAGAAAACTTAAAGCCAAGGTCTTAAATTTAAGGTCTTAACTTTGACCTTGGAATTTGTTTTACTAATGTTTGTGGTATAGCCTCATCATTCTTACTCTGTTTTTATACCTTCCCCTCTTCATTGCACCTAGAGGCTCATTAATTATCTGATGGCTGTTTACCCTGCATTATATCTCAGCATTATTATCCTGGCTCAGTGCAGAAATGGTGATCACAGACTACCAAATGTTGCTACCTGCTATCTACTTTTCTAAGAGACTGCACTCCCCCTAGGATTGGCATTTTAGGTAATTCCTTACCAAAATCCATTAGGAATTCTATTATTGATATGGGGATTTTGCAGGTGAAGTTCTCCATCTACCTGAAATACCTACAAGCAATAGGGTGGCATTCGATGTTCTTCATCATCTTTGGGCTTGTGCTTTATTCTGTGGCTTTTATTGGATCAAACCTCTGGCTCAGTGCTTGGACCAGAGACTCTACAATGTTCAATAGCACCAACTATCCAGCCTCTCGGAGGGACCTGAGAGTTGGCGTCTATGGAGCTCTGGGATTAGCACAAGGTATGTGTGATGGCTACAAAAGCCATCTCTTAGAGAGTCTGCTAGGTCCATGTACTTTGCCTGGCCTCAGAAGAGTTTGCCATTAAGTCCTTGGTATGAGTCTTCAGGGATCCCTGTGCATGGTTCTGACTAAACTGGTTCCATTTCTAGGTGTATTCGTGCTCATATCAAATCTCTGGAGTGTCCATGGTTCCACCCATGCATCAAGCATCCTTCACAAGCAATTACTAAGCAATATCCTTCGAGCACCCATGAGTTTTTTTGACACAACACCCACAGGTCGGATTGTGAACAGGTTTGCTGGTGTAAGTATCTCAAGGACTGTAAGAGGTATTTAAGTGCTCAGGATCTTTCCGTTTCTGACAGAATTCCCATGTGCCCCTAGGCGACACTGTGCAGTTCCTGTGCTTTTGTCCACTCAGTATGCAGATGTTTCTTGAGTACTTGTCTGAGGTCCCAAGGATCCTGGGGGTATAGGGATGAACAACTCTGGCTCTTTAAGTAGCTCACCATCTAATGAGGGAGATGGCCAAGGAAATAAAGGGTTAGGATAGAATACGGGAAAACCAATAACCACCATGTGTACAGTAGCATTCCAGGAGTCCAAAAGAGGGACAGAGAAAAGTGGTACCAGCTCAGCCTCAGTGACTGAGGGTGGGAAATGTCAGGAAAGGCGACACTTAAATCATAGAAGTTAGCCAGGGAGATGGTGGGGATCTAGGGTTGGTGGGTGGCCGTAGAAGCAGGATGTGAAGGATTTTTCTGAGGAGAGAAAAAACCAAGTGAAAATACCATCACTGGTTGTGACTGAGTAAAAGGGACAGCAGGATAACCCTTTGCTTGGTCGCTGCCTCCATTCCTGAAGCTCCCATCTTTGATGCTTTAAAAATAAGTAAATGAAAAAAAAAGTAAATGAGATCTGGATTGTGGAAGAGAGCCACCTACGATTTTAATGGGGTTCTGAAACATTGTCTCCATCTACTATATATCCTGGAACCCTCGGCATTCATTCATTCAACATTTATTGAGTGCCTTCTATGAGTCAAGGACTGTACTAGGCTTTGGGATGCTCAGTAAATGTTATGATCATAGACAGCTCTCTTCCATGGGCCAGACCGAATTCACTGATTTTTAGCGAATATGAGATGGATATTTCAGGAACAGAGGAAACCAGACAATTCAGTGTAATATTCAACCATCACCAACAGAGTCTTCAGTTCTCTGTTTTTAGAAGAAGGCACACATTTAAAAAAATAAAAGGTATCTAAGCAGCTTGAACTCTGATTTGTTTGGTCTTGGAGCAGACACAAAGTCCAGCTCACAGCCCAAGCCAGGTTCTGGGGACAAGGTGATTGCTTCAAAAGTGGACAGGCCCTCACTTATCACCTTCCTCTGGGACAAAAATGGTGGGCGTGATGCCATTGGTGACAACTTAAATGGGCTTCCTGCTCTTTAATAGGACCTTAAAAAGTACCCAATTTTGGATATGGAGATTCCCCACAGAAGTTTTGCAAGGATCGTACACTCTTTTCTGATATAATCTTCTGAAAAAGAAAACACAGAGATCTTACTGTGAGTTACTTAGGCAACTGTCATATTTTGCTACCTGCTTTTGCATGAAAAAGGAAACTGTCATTAATTATATGGTGACTTTTTTGGGGGGGAGATGTATCAGATCATAAAGGAAAGTTAAATCTAGTGTCCTCTGGAGCTGATGACTGAGCCCTTAAGAGATGAAGGTAAGGGTGGAGGAAGAAAGATGGAGATTTTGTGTGAGGTCAGGGTCAAAATTCTGCACAGAACTAATAGCTGCGAGGATTTCTTTTTTTCTGTCAACCCTGGACATATAGTTATCAGCATTCTGATGTGACTTTGGGAAGGATAAATTAGACTCAGGAGTCATCCACTATTCAGGGCTCTCTAGGAAACTGTTATCTCTTACCCAGTTTGGAATACTCCAGAGATAATTTGGGTTTACCTTGATACTCACATATAATTAATCCTAGAATTAACATAATCTAAAAATTAAGGCAAAGGAAACTCAAAATATAAGCAAGGCTTCCTGTGTGTACCAAACCCATCCATCCATCCATCCATCCATCCATCTTTCCATCCATTTGCTCATTTATTTGATATGATATATAAGCACTATGGTGATTAAGACCCACCCATCATCTGTGGGTTCCTTGGTTAGAATAGTGGCCAGGCACGGATCACATTAAGTCTCCACCTCACTTCTGGAAAGCTCTATGTTCGGCAGAGGAAATAACTTCCCACGCAGAAGATGGTTCTTCAGTCAGTGGTGGGTGACAGAGCTTGTTGACTGGAGCCTCCAAACAATTGTTTATTAAACATGTTATGTGCCAGTCTCTGTTCTAGGTAATCAGCAGAATTAGAACCTGTGTAAAGTTAGAATAATTGAATTGGCTCAGGTATAGGAGGATTTACCTGTAAGGCTCTGTTAGCTTACAGTAGTTATATAAATTTGAAAAATGGAAATTTCCCTGAGAAGAGTGAAATTCTATCACCAACTCTGTTGAAAAAGGTGAAGGATGACTGCCAAATTTGTTTGGAGGGATTTAGAAAGATGAGGAAATTACAAAAATGAGATTGGTTATTGGGGTGAGCAGAACAGTGTACTGCAAATGAAAACCATGACATGATTAAATGAAGGAGTCACTGGGAACCCAGAACTGAGCAAATTCCCTGCCAGAACCAAGAAGATGTAAAATGTCATAGGAACTCATTGGCACACTGTCTCTCCTTATGTGTCCCTAGGATATTTCCACAGTGGATGATACCCTTCCCATGTCTTTGCGCAGCTGGCTTTTGTGCTTCCTGGGCATAATTAGCACCCTTGTCATGATCTGCCTGGCCACACCAGTCTTTGTTGTCATCATCATTCCGCTTGGCATCATTTATGTGTCTGTTCAGGTAGGTTTGGAAACGGCTAGGTTTCCTTTTCTCTCTACTTATAGAAGCCCAAGCTCCTTCCTGAGACTCTCTTCTTTCTTGCTAGTCACTCTCTCCTCTCCAGCATCTTTGTCACTCAGCCATATATTAACATACCAAGGAGCCCCTGGGCCACTCCCTGAAGCTGAAGGGTCAGCCCTGATGGGTGCGGGTTGACAGCAAATCTCACCTTAACTGCTGCCCCCTACAAGTTTACGTGGGGCAGATTTACATGTGGATCCAAGACTACTTTGAGGTTGGCTCTGAATAAAGTCTTGAAGCTCAGTAAGACCCTTCACAGTGGCTAGGTCATTGGTTGCTTCTAGAAGAGCTGTGCTGTGGCTGCTTCCCTGGTTGACTCAGGCTTATCTCCTTGGAGATGTCTCAGCAGGGGCTCAGTCTCTTTTCACTTCAGGGCAGTTCTCCTTCCACTGGGGTGTCTGTAGATGGCCTAGACTCAATTCCAGTGTGTTGAGGACACACGTTGCTTGAGAGCCAACCCTCACAGGAAAACTGGAGCAAGTGGAAGGGGCTTCATGATAAAAACCTGATGAGGAGAGGGAAGCTGTGGTTAGAAGTTCTGTCCCACTGTTATCTTCAGGATGAACTGTGAGCCTTGAGAAAACAATTCTGAAGCCAAGGGCAGCCTTGTGGCCCCTGGTAAGATGACACCCCCTGGTGTTTGTGTTGAGTTCCTCAGGTACATTGTCATCTGTTAGTAACAAACCAATGAACAGAGGCAGGATACTTGAGGAAACTTCCAGGTGTAACATTTTGAATTCTGACTCTCAAATACCCAGCTCTTCCCTGGTCTCAGCAAATCCTCTTGGAATCTAGTAGCACCACTATCCCATTCCACTGAACCTCCCACTAAGCCTTCACATCTCAGACAGCCTGCCTGCACTTGTGTGACATCCAGTTCCAGTTCTTAGACCCTCAACATTCCACACACCTCCAGAGTGATCTTTAACTTCACACGCCATCAAAGCACAGTCTTGGTCACTTACATGATTCTATTCAGTTTTTATCCAAACCTCAGCATACCTTTCTCGGGCCATTTGTTGCCCATCTCCACTTTCCACACCCCTCCGTTCCCAGCTGCATTTATCAAATCCTTTTGGAGACCATTTTTCTAACTATTATAAAAATGTTATTTAGACAATGTGTGCAGGTTCTTGGGGAGCATATGGATTAGGCTGACAAAACTTACGTGGTTGGAAAATTCAAACCTCTAGGGCTATGGTATCGTGTCCTTACTTTCAAGTTGCTCTGTTCTCTGCCAGCCCCAGCTCTTCCCACCATCCTCTTCCTCTGAGCCTCTCATCACTCCTCTAGTCAGAGATGAGACCTGAGGCCTCTTCTCTGTTCAGATGTGGGCTGCAACCTCCATGTAAAGAATGTTGGGTCCTGGCCATGAAGGAAGAGGTCCAGCATATGTGACGTGATTGCATGACTGGTTCTTTACTTTTTTGGCTCCAGATATTTTACGTGGCCACTTCTCGCCAGCTGAGACGACTGGACTCTGTCACGAGGTCCCCAATCTACTCTCACTTCAGTGAGACGGTATCTGGTTTGTCTGTTATCCGTGCCTTTGAGCACCAGCAGCGATTTCTAAAACACAATGAGATGTCAATTGACACCAACCAAAAATGTGTCTTTTCCTGGATCACCTCCAACAGGTGAGGCTGCCCTTAGGTATTCTCCCTAAATATGTATTTTGGGGTTCTGCACGTTTGATATTAGTTGTGGGCTGGCAGGCTTGGCCAGTGATGTGAAATTCACTCTGGCCAAACATGACTGTTGTGTAAGTAGAGAGAAAGCATGAGCTTTGGAGTCAGAGGCTGGGTCCCTGCGCCTGCTCTGCCACTTACAAAACTGGGCAAACTCTCTTGACCCCTTTCAGGAAGATCTCCTTTGTTTTCACAATGGCTGGAACACAACCTATCTCACAGGCTTACGGAGGAAGTCACATGCCATCTGTGAGCATTTTGTAGCCCGGGTACTGTACAAGTGCTCGGTGAACTGGACCTCCTCTGTTTGCTTCCCTGAGAACGGATGTGGGCTTCTCCCCAGGCAGGACACTCGTCATAGGGTGGTGAAAGCAGCAGAGAGGGAGGGAGGGAGGAGAGCTGGGAATTTTTAGGTCGAATCAGTGATGACAAGAAATGAAAAGCTCGCATCCTGTGAGGTGACTCCAAGAAGAGTCAGCATTCTTTATTCCTCCAGCTTTATTCACCCTGGCAAGAAGTGGCGTGTCCTTGGAGGAGGAAGGTCTTTTTCAGGAGTGAAAACTCTTGGGTGGCTTCCATTTCGTCTTGAGGTGTGAAGGGAAGGCTAATGACGCTTAGTATTATTTGGTATATGAAGAGGTCAGGAAATTGATTGTAAAGATTTTCTATTTCTTAGATACTTTCCAAGAAGGAAACAGGTATAAGTCAATTTTCTCTAGGACTCCTCCCTTTTGTGAAATATGTATCATATTTATTCGTACATATGCTAGAATTATTTGTGCAAATTTATTTAAGTACATTTTACTTAGGAAAGTCAGTTTTTAT